TTGAGATATATGTAAAATGTCCCTAAAAGATATGGGCACAGTGGAACAGCCTTTTGGACTGACATGTTTGTGTTATGGCCTTGTCAGGTGGGTTTGCAAATTCGCTTGGCCTTTTGCAATTGCACCTACGAAAACTTGGCAACTGCTGGGGTATTTTGCAAAGTTGGGCACCATCGGGTAGAGGTACATTGCAAAGATGGGGTCCCACTGATGGCTGGGGTGTTTCGCAAAATGTGTTTGTCATGGTCCTTCGCTGCGGGTCCACTTGTTCAGTCTAAATACTGATTGACTTACCGTGAGGGCACGGGTGCGCAGCCCGTAGTTTGTATATGCTTGATTGATGTGTGTGTGTGTATGTGTGTGTGTGTGTGTGTGTGTGTGTGTGTGAGAGAGAGAGAGAGAGAGATGGCACGCAACAAATCCAGATGGCACGCAGACAACCGGGGTCCACACCGTTTCAGATTCGAATTTCAAGGCCCTAGGGCCCGCACGCCGTTTCAGGCCTGAGTCCACACCGTTTCAGATTCGAATTTCAAGGCCCTGCGGCCCGAGTCCACGCCGCACACCGTTTCAGGCCTGAGTCCACACGGCACGCCGTTTCAGGCCTGAGTCCACGCCGTTTCAAATTTTTTTGGACTGCGGGGTTCCCAGGAAAATGTCATGGGCAGCTACCGGTCCTGCATTTGCTTGAACTGCCGCCCCCCCCTAAATGCCAGTGCCTTTCATTTTACCAGCCTTTGAACGACCAATGGGCCCGAATGAACGACCGGTATAACGAAGGATAACAAACGACAACGAAAAATGTTCTCAGGGGCATAAAACGCACCCCTGACGGGCTGCGAATTTAATGACAGTACGTTGTATTGGGGGGAGAAGGCCGGGTGCCGTCAAGGTTTTCAGTTTCAGATGGGTTTCAGTCACGGTTTGAATCCGCGAATTTTGTTTTACCTCTGAGAAAGACATATATATCGTCACAAATAGAACTGCCTGGTATATATATACGTCAAACAGAACTGCCCAGTAAACCGTTCTCTCTCTCTCTCTCTCTCTCTCTCTCTCTCTCTCTCTCTCTCTCTCTCTCTCTCTCTCTCTCTCTCTCTCTCTTGCGCATGCGGCGCCTGAACAACAACAGATGATGGATCGTCTTTCTCCCTTTCCCCCTCCTGCTGCTCCTCCGGCTCTTCCTCCTCCTCCCGCTGCTTCTCCTGCTCTACCCCCCGTTCCTCCTCCCGCTCCTTCTCCCACTTCTCCTCCTCCTGTGTCGCTTCGTCTCTCTCTCTCTCTCTGTGTCGACCTCCTCGGCCCCCTGCACCCAGCCCGGCCTCCCCTTGCCCGCGGGCCGCGTCCGCCAGCGTTCCGTCGGCCTGCTCGGTAGCTCCATCCACGGGCCCTGGGCCGGCGCGTCCCTTCCCTGCCCCCCGCTCCTCGGCCCGCCCCTTTCCCATTCCCCTGCCCTTTCACACTGGCCGGCCCGCCTCCCCCGTTTCGCACTGGCCCGCCCGCCTCCGCACACGCAGCGCCCCAATTTCCCCGCCCCTGACTAGCCACGTCCCGCTGGTGCACCGCGCGTCCCGCTGCTGCTCCGTGGGCCATCAATTTTCGCTGGCCCCGGCGGGAAGCGTCACGTCGGGCCCTTTGCAGCTTTTAATAGTATGAGAGAGATGAGATGAGAAGATGAGATGAGATGAGATGAGATTGAGATTGAGATTGAGATGAGATTGAGATAATAGTATTGAGATTGGGCCCTTTGCAGCTTTTAATTGTATTGAGATTGAGATGAGATGAGAAGATATCCCAAATACAGCTATAATGACCGTACGTACGTTGTATTCCGGGGAAGAAGGTAGTTTTTTTCCAAACCTTAATCTCATTCCCGAAACTCACCTCAATTCTCATCACCCGCCTCTCTGGCCAAATCAAATCAAACCACCCCCAAGTTGGCACCTGATGATGCCCCAAAGGAATGCCCTTGCTCACCCACTGCCTGTGTCTCTCGACTGCCCGCGGGCGCATCCTACCGGTAGTGGGATCGTCGGAAGTTTGCGGTCATATCAGATTTATTAATACTAGTATTATTTGTTTTCCTTTCAGTGCGCAGTCTTTCATGCGCTAATTATAGATTTTTCTAAAACATTTATCTGTCTCTGAGATGTGCGTCATATCAGATTTAAAAAAAAAGCAAACAAAAAACTTAAGACACGTGACAATAAAGGACGACAACAATTACAACCGTCTTGACCCCTGTATCTAGTCTGAAAGTCGCAGAAAATACAGGCATAACGACCGGGCGTTCTATTCGGTTGAAGACGGTAGGTTACCAAAGGCGTCACCCGTCCGGCGGCCCCGGGGTACTTGGGGATGCCAACGAATCCTGCCTTTTTTTTCCACCTTTTTTTTCTCTTCTTTTTTTTTCCAATAATTATAGCTGGTGGGCATGCATTCCTGCATCCGTCAAGTTCTCCCCTAATGAGTTTTCGGTTTTTTTTTTTGTTCTTTTGTTTTTCAAGTGCGTAGCAAAACTCTTAATTTCGTTCCCAAGGGGTGGAGTGGAGTGGAGGGGCGGGGGAGGAGGGGCAGGCAACGGAGATGACGGTAATCGTCACCCATGATCATCACCCACCATCACCACCCATCATCATCGCCTATCATCATCATCATCATCATCATCATCATCATCATCATCATTATCATCATTCCACGCTATGGAGGAATGGATCATCATCATCATCATCATCATCTCATCATCATCATGACCAACCTCATCATCATCATCATCAGCAGCAGCAGCATTCTATATCATCATCATCGTCATCATCATTATCATGACCAACATCATTCCACGCTATGGAGGAATGGATCATCATCATCATCATCATCATGACCAACATCATAATGACCAACGTCATCATCATCATCATCATCGTCATTCGTTTTGAAGGAGGCTGGGAGTAGGCGGGACGACCAGGCTGCCTCCCGGGTGTGAAAAGGCCCGGACCCCGACCAGGTGACCCGCGCGAAGGGGTGGCAGGTCAGCCTTCAGGGCGGATGCGTGCGCCGCGTGCGTCCGGCAAAATAACCCGGTACTGAAGTAATAATCATAATAATATTAATTAACTAATTAATTAATTGATTAATTAATTAATTGATTAATTAATTAATTAAATTATTTATTTATTTATTTATTAAAATAATAAGAGAGCAAAAATACCTATCGACTTGCGGTCGAGGTCTTCCGGCTCGTCCCCATCATGGCTATGGCTGCCGTCCTCCGCCCTCACCGCCATAGTGGGCGCCGGTGGAGTTATCCCTCCCGTAAACCTTCTTCTGCCGCTGCTGCTGCCGCTGCCTTTGCTATGGCTATGGTTGTGGTTGTGGCTATGGCGACTAGTCAGTGTCCTCCCGTAAACACAAGGTTGTTGTCCTTCTCTCACCTTCGACTCATTGCTGGCTATGGCGGGAGAAAACCCGCCCAGGTTAAGGCACAGAGGTGGACTTCGACGGACCTGCGAAAAGTGTATGAATCAAAATGAGATTTTTATGACAAACGAGAATTTGAGGGACAAATTCATGCAGTTGTTTTCGAGAAAAAAAAAGACGTAAATAAATAAACAAGTTAAAATAATAATAATAATAATAATAAATAACTAATAAAAAAATCAAATTTCGAGAAAAAAAAGACGTAAATAAATAAACAACTTAAAACAAGTTAAAATAACTAAAAATAATAATAATAAATAACTAAATAAAAAAATCAAACGTTAGTAATGTACTGATACACAATTGTTTCGAGGGAAAAAAAAAAACGATGGTCACAATGCGGCAGCGACATGCGTGCGGGTTTCCAAACGAGTAATCGCACAGAAGAATCGAGGCTGTTGTATTAAAAAAAAAAAAAAAAAAAGTACTACGGCGGTAGGTGAAAATATCAACATTAATAAAAATAAAAACTGCAGCGCGTTACCCAAGAGCCTACGTAGCTCAGTGGGGACCACACCCATGAACTGTTGAAATACAGACCAGTTCGATTCCAGATGATGATTATTTTTCATTATTTTTATTTTTTTTAAAGATGATGATGATTGGAGCTTGATTGATGAGTAAAACCAACTACTAATGATGAATTGCCTGGGGCCGGTCAGCTCAATGATAATAGTATCTCAAGGCCGTTGCCCTTTACAAAAAAAAAAAAAAAAAAAAAAAAAAAAAAAAAAAAACTGCAGCGCGTCAGCCGATCAGCCAGCCCTACACGTTCAGATAAAGAAAAAAAATCCACGTTTTGAATTATTCATTAATTCAATCTTGGAGGAAAATGGGGAGAAAGCGCGTGATTTACAGTATTAATTCTTTTTTTAAAAAAAGAATTTTTGTGCGGGCGGGTGATGAAGCAAGAACCAGGAGGGGGAGGGGGGGGGGGCAGGGGGGAATAAAATGGAAAAGAAAAGACGCGACTTTGCCTCCCTAACCAACGACCCTCTCTCTCCCCAACAACCATCGATTCATCCAAAAAAAAAGAAAAAAATAAGAAAAAAAATAAGAAAAAAGAAGAAGAAGAAGAAGCAGGGCCGACAAAGCAGGGCAGATCCGTCATCTTGCTGACTGACAAGAAATTGGCTCACATCTATTATTATGAAGGCTCTCATAAATTTAAAAAAAAAAAAAAAAAAAAGGAGGCCCGCATAAAATCGCCATAGTCAAATTAACATGTATTTTCAGAAACACAGAGTCTCAAGGTCGGGGTGGGTGGGGCCGCCACGGGGACGAGAGGCGCGAAAGAGGGGAAAAAAAGAGCCCTAAAGGGCCCGAAATAATTCAAAAAAAAACATGTTTTCCAGAAAACACACAATATGTCGAGTCGTCATAACTTTTCTTTTTTTTTTGAGCCGTAATAAGTAACATTTTTTTTTCGAAAGTTCGGCCGACCTATTCGTGTCATCATTATAACACAGCAGGGGCCATGCCAATCTTCTCTCTCTCTCTCTCTCTCTCTCTCTCTCTCTCTCTCTCTCTCTCTCTCTCTCTCTGTGTATCGTTCCGATTTTTTTTTCTTTTTTTTCTTTTTTTTCTTTTTTTTCTTTTTTTTTCTTTTTTTTTCTTTTTTTTCTTTTTTTTCTTTTTTTTCTTTTTTTTCTTTTTTTTCTTTTTTTCTTTTTTATTTTCACACCGTTCCAAGTTGAACAGATATCCCGAACTACGTTGATCATTTCAACAGAAAAAAAAAAAGGTGGGGAAAGTTCGTCCGAGCTGTTAAACAGAAATGAAGAAATGAACGCATGCACACGTTGAAATGGCCCCTGCGCAAGGATGATGACACGAATAAGTCGAGAAATGGTCCATTTTTTAAGATTAAAAATAAAATAAAATGACAACAGGCTGACAGAGACTGACCAAAGATTCTTGCAGGCAAATTGACAGACTGACAGACTGACAGGGAAGCAGGGGAAATGGTCCCCATATGGGACATTACGACCATTCGCGAGGGGATCTTGCATAAATCGAGTAAATCGAGAAATGGTTCTAGATGAATAGTAACACCAGATATTTCTGAATTGCCTGCTCAGTGGGGACCGCACCCATGAACTGTTGAAATACAGACCCGAATTCGAATCCAGATGATGGTTCTAGTCTTCTAGATGAATAAAACCAGATATTTCTAAACTGCCTGAATTGCCTGGGGCCGGTCAGCTCGATGATGATATCTCAAGGCCGTCGTCCTTTTTTTTGCTTTCTTTTTTTTTTTAAGGTCTAGGCTACCAGAGTGGCCCGGGGTCACTTGCCCGGCCGGGCCAGAAACATTAAAAAAAAATAAAAATATTTTTTAATTTTATTTTTTATTTTGAATTTGATGAAGAATTTCGATGTGACCCTGAGGCAAAAGTTGTTCAGTTTATTTTTCTGCATAAGATAGGTTTTTTTGTGGATTTTTGGGATTTTTTTTTTTTTTTTTTTTTTGCCGGGACCTTCCCTGGTCCTTGCACGGGCTGGCCACCGGGACCCGGGCGGCCCGGCTGGTAGCCTAGTTAAAGGTCCAATTTTTTTTAGATTAAAAACAAAAAGTTGACAACATGCTGACAGAGTGACAAGCTGGCAGGCAGAGTAGGCTGACAAGGAGACTGACAGAACTGACAGAACTGACAGACCGACAGGCAAGGAGGGGAAATGCCACGCGTGTGGGATATTAGTAATAAGACGAATGGCGAGGGGATCTTGATTGTAGAAGGATGAGGCGGAAAAAGGAAAAAAAAAGAGAGAATAACACAAAATGGAGGAAGTAGATGGGTGAAAGAAAATGCGAGTTGTCAGCAAAAGGGAGGTGCTTGAAAAGCTTCATGGGTATATAGGACACGTGGAATATCTGAGGGCAATTTATGTAAATGAGGGTTACAGAGGGAAAATACATGCATATGAGGGTTGCATAGGGGAAAGGCATGTAAATGAGGGTTACATAGGGAATGCTCAGAAGAAAGGAAAGGTGAGAAAGGGATAGGCTGGAGGAGGAGGAGGAGGAGGAGGAGGAATCATGCGTTGGAAAACGCACCAGAAATCCGACATCGCGGCAAGGTCGGTCTTTGTAGTTGAACCTGCTCGTGGGATGAGGCTCCCCAAGTGGCATCACCGGCGCGACCGACTGGCCTATGAATCGCGCGCCAGCCATCACCTCTCCTTCGTACACGATTCTTCCCAGAGACGCCATCTCTCTCTCTCTCTCTCTCTCTCTCTCTCTCTCTCTCTCTCTCTCTCTCTCTCTCTCTCTCACACACACACACACACACACACACACACACAACTAACAGACGCACCCGTGCACGCACACACCGACACGTGCATGCACGCGCATCCTGCCACCCTCAGACCCCCTCTCTCGTGCTGTCATGGTCGCTTACGTGTGAACACAGGTCCACTCACGGAAAAGCACAACCATTCTAGCGCAACAGGCGCACTCTACTCTGCCAGTCCGTTTCCCGAAGCGGCAAACGCACGCACGCACATAGGGCCTCGCTGCGCTACGCTTGAAACTTGACCCAGGATGCCAAAAAACGGATTCACTCTCTAAAACTGTCAGACTCTCACTCTCTAAAACTAAGAAGTCATAGCCGCACTAAAAGCCTCGCCACACCACTCTTGAAAACTCATTTTTCAAGAGTGCAGTTGCTGCCCTGCGTGGCCACACAGCCTCTCTTGAAACTTGGGGCTTTCAAGAGCTGTCAGAGTCAGAGTGGCTCAGAGTGGCAGCCTCTCTTGAAACCCTTTTTCAAGAGGGGCGGCTCTTGAAAGATTCGAAACCCCAGGCTGAGCCTGCAACTCGTGCTTTTTCAAGTGTCCTGGGCTGAACCCTTGACAGCTCTTGAAACATTCCCCCATTTCAAGACTGGTGTGGCGAGGCCCTAAGGGCGTACTCAGACAGTGGTGGCATAGCAGCAAAATCTGCGAATTTTGCTACAGAGGTTTTGCTGGCCTCAGACAGTGGTGGCATAGCAGCAAAATCTGCGAATTTTGCTATCCAGGTTTTGCTAAAATGCCACCCTGCCGGTCACGTAGCGGCAGCAAATCACAAAAATCTGCGAATTTCGCTATCCGGATTTTGCTAAATGCCACCCCGCCCACATAGCGGCAGCAAATCACAAAAGACAATAGCCCAACTTTTTGGCAATTGCCAAAATGGTGCCTCGCGTGGTCACACAGTGCGAGGCCCAAATCTTCTTTGTTCAACAAAGTTCGTTTCGAATTTCCTGTCACGAATTCTCAAACTGAAAAGAAACAAATTGCTACCACCTCCAGAGGTGGTAGCAAAATGCCCTTCCCGGGCCGCCCACATTTGATACCCCGTTTGCTGCTTTTGCCACTTTCCCTGGCTCGTGCAATTGGCCCAACCATCAAATTTTAAAACCATAAAAGGCCCTAGTGCGAGTAGGCCCTAACTATAGAAACGTGCTCTTGATTTTTTTTTCAAGAGGTGTCAGAACGCTCCTTGAAATGAAAGCTCGAAGCTTCAGGAGTGCCTGCCTGCAAGGCGTTCTTTTTCAATGGTGGTCGCTGAGACCCTTCACGAGCTCTGCTTTTTCGAGAGTCTGTCTATAGTCTCAGCCAACAAACCAGATTTCTTGGGGGGGGCATTTTTCAAAATGCCCCTGAAATTTCCATTTATTTGCGGTTTGCCCCTCTGACGGCCGAGTTACCCTGATTTGCCCCTCTGACTACGATTCAAGTTTCCAAAAAAAACCTGGCATCATTTGAGGCTGAGATATGTTCAATATGCCCCTACCAGTACCGGTGCCCAATTTCCAGTTTGCCCCTACCGGTACCGATGCCAAATTTCCAGTTTGCCCCTACCGGATGGCCGTTGAGGAACTGGGTTGGGCAGGGGTATAGGACTAGACCTGAATGTGAGGGATATTGAGAATGACGGGGTAGATAACGACACCGGCGATAGAGGATGAGGAGGAGGAAGAGGGGAACGAGGAGGTGGAGGAGGTGGAGGAGGCGGGCGGGGAGGAGGAGGACGGAGGAAGTTTCGAATGTCAAGCCATGGGGAAGTAGTGACGGAGGAGGAAGACCACATGGGAAGAGAGAGAGAAGCCAAGGTGGGGAGGAAGGAGGAGGAGGAGGAGGAGGAGAAGGGGGAAGGAGCACCGGAACCATGGCTATGGAGTACGAAGGGGCCAACGTGTCTCCTGGAATAGGCTGCGGTCTAACGAATGCCATAGCTAAGGGGATGCAGTTGGGGGAAGATGCCAGTGGTTCTCATCCCTCCCTTCATCCTCCTCCTCCCCCTCCTCCTCCTACTCTCTCTCTCTCTCTCTCTCTCTCTCTCTCTCTCTCTCTCTCTCTCTCTCTCTCTCTCTCNCTCTCTCTCTCTCTCTCTCTCTCTCTCTCTCTCTCTCTCTCTCTCTCTCTCTCTCTCTCTCTCTCTCTCTCTCTCTCTCTCTCTGCTCGTGTGTGTGTGTGTGTGTGAGAGAGAGAGAGAGAGAGTCATGGAAGAAGGGGGGGAACACTGACCTTGGGCAACAAACTCCGAGGACGTCCAAAGCGGTGGGTTGCAGCAGAGGACGAATGAACTCCAACGCGGTGGATTGCAGCAGCGAGCGTGACGTGGAGTGCAGCCTTGTTATTTCCGCGGTGGCGTGGAAAACTACGGAGTTTGAATTTGAATTCTTCTCACATCCGTGTTGAAGGGCATCTCATAAAAATGCATCTGCCCCATGAGAGCAAATCAGCCAGGCACCAGGGAAATGGGACCGGTGGTCCGGTAAGGGCATTTCAAAAAGTTGCGCCCCTCACTAACAAGGGTCTGCATGAAAGTTCAGCGGCCCAAGGGGCAAATCAGGGTAAGTCAATCGTCGGAGGGGCAAATCGCAAATAAACAGAATTTTTAGGGGCATTTTGGAAATTTCCCTTTTTTTAGGGGGGGGGGCAAGGACAAACCAGATTGGCTCTGTAGGGTAGTACTATCGAGCGTTCAAGAGTGGGGTTGTCTACAGTAAGAGGAAACTCATACTAGGCTCTCAAAATGGCAAAATCACGAAATGAGCAGTCGGATCGAGTCATCCTTTCATAGGGGCTCGATATGCCTGCATATTTTGTGATTCTTCGATTTTGAGGGCCTTGTGTGAGTATGTCGTAAGTGCAGCTACGACAGCGTTATCGGGTATTTCAAGAGTTTGACAACTCTTGAAGGACACTTGAACTTTTTCAAGTTTCAAGCGTAGTGCAGTGAGGCCCTATAGTCGCGCAACAGACTAGCTCGCTTTCGCGCACGGAAGCCCCAACGAGTGTAGTCCATAATAACGCAATCGAGGAAAAAGGCTACCCTTTACAAACATTAGTTCATCGGCTACACTGAGGGGCCCGCAACAAGTCATGCACAACACCTCCTTGGAAGGTCCCAAGCAGCGCCGACCACTCCGCCAGAGAGCCTCTTTCCTCCTAAGAGCCGCCTCCGGTACACGTACTATCTTCCGACACAACCTAAAAAGATACACCCAATATTGTGGCGGTGTGATAAGGATGAGAGCGAAAGGTCGGTCCGGAGGAAACAAAAATAAGAAAAAAACTATCGTGCAAAAAAATGTTTTTTCTTCGCTTGTGCCCCCCACATCCCGCGCTCGTGTCATGAAGTCATAGATCTGGTCGCCATACCGGCGAATCATGTTGGCCGTTGGAATGACGTTGTCGGAGCAACTACCCTCACAAGGCGTTTTTGTGCGACACTTTGAGACGGTTTCCTCGACCATTGAGACTGAGGCTTATCGGTAAGTAAATTTGGTTAGTGTGCGAGCACGTTGTTGCGAGACGCTCTAAGGTGGTTAGTATCAATAATTATACCCTTCGACCACAAAGATCGAGAGATAAGTTGTTAGAACCAAGCCTACACGCCAACTTCGGTGGCGGAAAACATCCAAGCCTAAAAAGTACGAGGCGCGTTGTCGTAGCAAACACCCTTACAAGGGTATTTGCCGTCCTTTTTAAAGGTCGCACTGGGTGCGTCCTTGATCAATGAAATACGCTGATGAGGTAAATCGCGTTAGGGCGCTTATCTCGACAGCCTCACTTTTGGCGAAACTCCAAATCTGGTATAGTCGAGTTAGAGGGTGTGGGGGGCTCGCATTATTGCGTAGCACAGTAAGATGACCATTAATCGTCGGTGATGCCAGGCTAGCGAGCAAGGAATGAGCCTGACCAAAAGCACACGTAGCGCAGTCCGTGGAGCCGGAATAGAAAATTGACAAGCAAACCCGCGGTCGGTGTGGGTTATGCCCGATGAACGCTGACAAGATGTGTCAAAGCCATAGAGACCGGTTACCCACCTTCTGTAATTTTTATTTTTGGTTATATTTTCCTTTCATCTTATAGTATCTATCTATCTTTACTTGTAGACCGGCTCGGCCTTCTGGCGGGGCCTATCGCGAAGGAGATGAAGATTTTACCTTGTGCGCGCACGGGAAGATTGTGTTTGACGATGCGCTGAAAGGTACGAGTTCGTCAGGCTGAGTTTGGGGAAAGTCGAGAGTTCGGCAAAGCATGTGGTGCGCCCGACGACCAGGGTGCCAGACGGTTTTACGAACCTAGGCACGAACGACGCCATCTGGCGGCCGGAAGATTGACCGGTAGGCCAAGGCCAAAGCCTGGTTTGTGCGGGTAGGACCAATCACAGTCCCACGACTACTCATATGCAGGGTTCACACCTACCTAGTTCAAGCTTGGGCTTTGCCCTATTGGGTACGGTGCTGGACTTTCCACCGACGGTCTGAGGTTCGAGGCCAGCAAGCGATTAAGGAGCAAAGGAACGCGACCAACAAGGACCGAGGGGTCGAGGGTCTTAAGGGACTATCCCCCTTGGTTTTGTTAGACGAGCCCAAGCCTGGGTTCGACTGGCAAGACCAAGAGGGCGCCGACAGATCCTCGTCCTCTTCAATTCTACTATTTTTATTTTTGTTGATTTATTTTTATTTTTATTTTTCTTCATTTTTCCGTTTGTTGACCAGGCCGGAAACTAGCTCCGGGACCGACGGCGAAGAAGTACCGTGAGGACGGATGAAAAGAACTTCAAAAGAAAATTAAAGAGTGCTTGAAATTGTTGAACGAGGAGCGGATGGAGGCAAGTCGTGCACCTGCACCTTAACGAGGGCGGGCGGCAACTCTGTCGCCACCTTCGTTGACCTGGAACGAAGGGGTGCATGCCAATGCAGTAACCGGCATTGCAGAGGGGAGCTATTAGAACCCCCATGGGTGGCCGTCACGGCAGTCAAGGACCTTCAACACGTGCCTCTTTTTGCGGGCCTGTTCGGGTTTCGGCATGTTCCCCTCTATCCTGGCTGTCTTGAAGCACGGTCCGAGAGATTCAAGGTGCATGTGAGCAGTGGGTACGTAGCCCACGAAGAAGAGGGAACATGAGTGGCGAGACCAGCACCTGCGGGTGCTCCATCCGCCAAAAACGATTT